CGCAAAGGGGTGGGGGAATCCATAAATTGAAGTATAATTGTGTATATATTTGTTCATTTTCAATGAGTCATTTACTTACGCATTAAGTATGTCTGATAATAAGGGAATATAACACAAATGATAATCTATTTTTAGAGGGATTGAATTATTTGGCACAAAGATGGTTTAGACCAGTTTCTTAAGTAAAAGTGTCAAATTAATTTTCTATCGCGTTAGATTAATTTAATTATTTTTGTTAGACTATGCTCTCAAGCAATAAGCAAATTAAAAATGTAGCTAATTAGCAAAAATCGCTATCATTAATGCACTCACTCATTATTAATTGATTCGTGCGTCCATCCATTTACACGGTAAGCAGAATTTCTGGAGTAGTTAGTTTCATAATCAAAATTTATACTCATGCGTGTTCGGACCGTGAAGGGGCTTTGTTTACTTTACATACCTCATTCGAAGGACACTAACACCGTACATATAAACGTACGCATGTATGTATGTACTTGTGTGCGACAAGGTCACCATTTCGTACCGGAAATAATCGGCAGCCAAAATTTAAATTTAGAATTTCATAGATGTTACACCGCCGCATACTAATCTGAACAAATTATTATCGAAATCACAAAGATATTACCTCTTTTTCGCATTTTTTAAAGTTTCATTTGTGAAACCCGTCGCCCAAAGGGCGCGAGCTATATCTTATATACGTGTCATTTTTTGTACCTTTTATCCATACTAATATGTGAAGATCGCTAATGAAACCAACCATAATAAATAACAGCCGAAGAATGTAAATGGATATCTCAGAAAGCACAATAGTTGATCGACCTGCTTTGGTTTGCATCAATTGTCGCTGTTCTTGTTTTCGAAGGTAGAACGTGATTATGTCAGTCAGTAATCACACACGCACACATATCGGATTTTGTTTTTTTCTTCCAAAGTCCAAATGGTGAATGAACACGGGAGCCCAGAACCCAAAGATGGTAATAATCTTCAATAGTTTATTTCCTTGCAAGCACACACCAGATACATAGATGTTACTCTACCAGTATGCGATGTTTAGGGAATTAACCTTTGATATCACGTGACAAACAATCATGCATCACGTGTTATCAATCAATTTATATGCTGCATCTAATCATCTAAACGGGAACATGAACATTATTAACATGGAAAAGAAAACCATCAAAAAAAATCAAGATCTCCAGCCAAATGAACATTGTAATTATTAAAGCATTGTTATTTTGTTTAATTATTGTGATGCCTGGGATGGCTTCGAGGTGTTCTTATCGCGGCGATTTCATACGTTCCCCAAAACCCCAATAAAATGAGCTGGAACAGTTGGTCTGATGCAAAAAATAAGGATGAGATAATTATTTCCACAAGTTGTTTACCGGTTTGAGGATTATGTAAGCTAGCTCGTAAACTCCTATCGTCACTCGTATTATCTTTCTAACCACTTCGGTGAATAGGTCGAGTTAGCATCCTAATATTACGTGTGCACAATCGTTTGTTGCCAGTAAATACAGTATAACGTGTGAAATTTTTGAAGCGGGGTATACGGAAATCCTTTAAGGGTAAATACCAAGGTGCTGTTGAAATCGTGGATCTTATTCTCCCTAGAGTAATTCGCGCTCGGTGATTCACATGCTTACAAATCCATTCATTACACATCGAATTATTGATTTAAGTGTACGGCATAGAAATGACCACATATGTTTAGACGTTTATTTTTTCTTTTTTTACGGCGCATGCTTAACTAACTAACCAACTAACTATTAATAATTTCCGATAATGCAGCTGGAGTCTGTGGCTTTGATTGTGTGCGCGTGCGTGTGCGTGGGTGTGGGTGGGCATGGGCGTGGGTGCGCACTTTGAAGAAAGTAGAACGAACCGAATTTCAAAAAGATCAAAGGATGGATGCACTTCCAACCGTGCATTCTTCTCGTTTGCAACGATAGATCACGAGCGCATACGTCGTACGTACGTCACGCCTGGGAACGTCAATCCGTTTTTTGACGACGACACCTCTTGGTTGGTGAAATTATGGAGCGGTTTCTCCGTTTAAACTGAGCTCATGCGCACCACACCTTTCCGATTGCATGGAGATGCAGTAATCTACCGCTAATCATTTTTTCCTGACCAAACGTAGAAACAAGAATATCAAATCTCATTTGAGGAATAACAAACAATCTGACAGTTATAGACAACTAACCTGCGGGCGATCCCATCAAAGATATTCCTAATATAGAATTATATTGCGCGCAAAAATTTATCATTGAATTGATGACCAGATATGCTACGTGTTTGATTTTCATGCATGCATATTAAAGAGATTTCTACACGATGTTTTACTAAGGCATCGTCGAATGCTCTCTCCAACACACCGCCGGGAAGTCACAAGAAGTGCCGTAGGTTCGTGTCTCTGATCATTCTTAGCTTATCGCCTTATCTCCTGCGTCGTGTAACATTGTATGAAGGAAGCTCTGGTGGATTTGGAATAGCAAAAGTGTGGTTCGATTCCGATTTGAATCCGAGGGGTTTGAAGGAAGAAGGGTTCGAAAGAAGAGGACTTTTGGTGGCACTTGCTGTTCAAGGGATTACCGGAGTCGGCGTCGTTTTCATTCATTCATTCCTTGTGTCATTCCAAATTTTCTCAAGAAGCTCACTTCATCAGAATGCCTTATTCGTATGTGTGAAAATGATGATCCGGTTTTTTAAAACTCATAAATACCTAATTCGGTCCATCCAAGTCCGATGACTGCACACTTTTGATTCGAATTTGGAATTTTCCTTCTGAACACAATTAAACATATCGCTCAATGGAGAGAGAATTTGGTGAACTGATCATGACCTCAAGTTCGAATGGGCGTATGTATATTCATGATTGATGAAAGGATCTCATCAGGTCTCATGACACGTCACGCACCTATCGTCATAAGTCCGCACTTGAGTCTCGTACAATTTTTGCGCGCAATCCATAAGAAGCAATGATGGTATCGTACTCGAGTGTGTGGCTATGGTGGATGGTAAGAAAGAGTAATCCATGTTCATTTTCGGCAGCTAATTTCTGACTGTCACATTTCCCTAGAGGTTTTCAGCGCTTTATTTAACCTAAATCGGGAAATTGCATGAAAATATAATATCGAACGTATCATATTATACAAGAATACTTGATTTGCACTGTAAAATCAAAAATATCGTATACACTCGGTGACACAGCCGAGCACAAAGAATAACTTGCATAAATTGTATATAACTTTAATCTCCATGCGCGTGTTATACTGTATAATACACAACCGATACAGTAAATATAAAATCCATGATCGTGCCGATAAGTAAGGTGTGCACAATCACAATTTCTTGTACGTCACGGGCGTGTCAATTAGGTGCACGCAGCACATACCATATGGAGGTATGCTTATGTGGACGTTTAAGGGATGCACCCACGGTTTCCTCGATTCAAAGAATTTGGATATTTACAAAGGGTGACTGCAGGGAGGTACCAACTGTAAACGAAATCACGACATGTAAAACTCATGTGTATTTCCAAAAGAAATTAATACAAAAATGGCATTCATTTTATGCCATATCGTTTAATATATGTCCGAATTTCTTAATAAATACAAGATATCGCCTGTTCGATCAAGCCGAAAATTAAGAGAATTTTTTGCGAAAGCGATAAATATCCTTTGCATCGATTACATTCCAATATCCAATCTCTTCTGCAGAAAATTGATAAACAAAATGGTTGTCCCTGATTTTTCTTTAGATTACTTGGCCGACACTTTAATCAATCGCCTTGATCGAAAAAAAATATTTCCACCTCAGTTAAACGATCCCGAAAACCTGTTATCGACCTCCTACAATAGAATGACTCCACCCACGAGGCCACCAAATGGTTTCCTGCTTTGCCGCAAGAATGTTCACCATGAGGCCAAACGGCAAGGTCAATGCAATATGCGTGTGATAAGCAAGGTCACAGGAATTCTCTGGCGAAACGCCACGGCCGAGGAAAAAGAGATTTATGAAGAGCTCGCCAACCAAGTCAGTTTTGTCTATGCCCAAAGATATCACGGGGATCCACAGAAACCACCGCAACCAACCGCACCGAATTCTTGCATTCTTTATTATCCAATCCCACACACGAACTGTATGGACGAAGCTTATTCTTCTTCCTACTCCAATTGCTACCACCATGTGCCAACCGATTTACCCGAAACAATGTACGATCACGTATATCATCAGCTCCAGTTCTCATACCTCACGCAAAATGGCTTGTAATAGTTTTACCAAATACCATTTCCGTAAAGCGGAGGAGGGGAGGAAGTGATCTACGTAAATTGATCAATTTGTCCCTCATTCTCTCCTTTACCGTACATACAGTAGTATATTGTAAGTGGATTTTTTTAAGCAAAGTTTTTGTCAGGCGTTTCAAATAGGAAACTCTGATTTATTGTATCGACTTCTTAAGACTATTATGCA